TGCCAAGTTGCTCATAGGTACTCAGAATTTTCCGCCATTCTACGAAAGCTTGCTTCGCTCGCTCCGCTGGCTCGCTTGTAATAAAGCACGTAAAAAATATGTCAACTTAAAGTGCAATTTAAAAACAAAAATGTACGTCCACCTATGCACTACATTTCAAAGCAAAAAAAAAATGTCCACTTATACCGTTATCTCAAGACAAAAAAAAATATGTCCACCTAAAAGTACAGTCCACCGAAACGCTTTTTTGCACCCAAATTCGACCGGCTACCACATCAAAACTAACCGGCATAGGACAGCGGCCAGTTGATATTTTCTTGCTACCTACCTGACGTGTGCTGCCATCTAAAAGTCATCCTCCCAGCATGCGTAGTTTTCAAGTCCACCGAAAGACGAAATACGCTAAAGTCCACCCATCCCGGAATTTGGAATATGTGTGAATGTTTGAGCCATCGCTAAAAAAGTTAGCTGGCAGCGGTGTTTATATGTCTTGTATGTTTGTAACAACGACTTTGGTAACTGTGAAGAGTGAAGACACATTTATGTTCTGAAGGCCGCGAACGTGAGAATGTATAATGTCTATATGTAGCATTGGCGCGTCGGCTGAGCATTGTGTAGTGTTGCTGCGAGGCGCAACACGGTGGGGGAGTATGTAGTGGCCGACGGCCGCTCTCCGCCCGGTTACGGCCGAGCCATGTGGTGGCCACGTGCGTCCGGTGGTCCCGCTCGAGGCGAGGCCCGGCTCGGGTCACGTGAGGGCCCGCTGTCGTGATTGGCCGCCGCCGGCGTGTGCCGCGAGGGAGGAACGAGGTGACCTGGGGCCGGTGCTCGCTGCGCCGACCCACTCTCTGTCTGTGACTCGTGCGGTGAGGACGGTAAGAACAAATACAGCGTCCTACTAAGTGCATCTTTGTGTGGTGGGCGGTGACATAAGTGGCGGAAGACGGTGCGAGCAGTGCTAATCGTGGCTGCTCCTGATACCTGTCTTTTTGTCCTGGGGCCCACTACTTTCTCTCTCTTTTTCTCATTGAGGGTGCGGAGGGAGGCGGCTGCGGTGTCTCGCCATCGAGTCACCGAAGCTGACCGCGAGTGAAGTGTCTTGCCATCGGGATACAACACTCGTGGCCTCCTCGTTCCTGGGGCGGCCAGTCGGTTTCGGTCAATCTCGCCATCGAGATCCCGGAGCATCTCAGATCCGTCTGACCACAGCAGCCTCGCCATCGAGGGGCTGTGGTCACTCGGCGGCTACCGCATTCCTTCCCATCCTCTACCAAAATCCACTTTCTCCTCACCCTGCACCACAGCCAGTCAGTCAAATCAAGTGTCGCTGTACGCAACTACAGACCAGAGGACGGCGTGGCGACATATGGCCGTAATGTGTTTTGACAGCATACGGCTCGTAAACTGCTACAAGGGCTGGAGTTCAAAACTTGCACGTCCGGATTTCACCACTGAAAACCAATTTTGACTCTGCTTCTGGCCACGTCCTCTGGCTTCCATATGGCCTTGTTTGCGAACTCGGTGCCTACCTGAGCTTCTCGCCGTGCCCGAACTCGTCGACTCGGCCGTTGCCTTTCCCACTCCGGGCCGGACCTCGCCTCTGAACGGCCCACCTACGTTACAGTAACGGGCAGCCCGGCTGGAGCCGGGCCATCGCAGGCGACCCCAGGGACCGTCTCTGGACGGACGCCCCAGGCACCCCGCGGAGCCGGCAGCGCGCAGCAGCCCCGGCTGACAAATGAACGGAATTTTCTGCCAACTTTAGCACGCTTTGAGTTATGGTGCTGATAACGACGCATGGAGGTTATTATTAACTGCTCTGAAGTTTTCACTTCAGAGACGTATGGCTTCAAAGCGAAGTTGATTGGCGCCCTCTTAAGAACAAATTAAATGTTTTGGCGAAGTGTAGCCCTATTTTACTGTCGACTAAAACAATAAATTACACCTGCTCGGTCTATAGACCGACACATTAAATCATCCCGGCACCGCCTGTCAGTTGCGCCTTAGGTCATATCGCTCACACCGCGGATCTCACAGCGGTCAGCTCGGAACGAACACCGCCGCAGGGCAGCCTGCACACTGGCGGCGATTGGCTGCGGGTGTATCGAGGGGGCTGGCTGCTCCGCATCATTTCCAGCGTCCATCTGTCACCGCCGTCCGCCGGCCACTCTGCCCCGCGGCAGCTCTTACGAATCACCAACAGGACCTGTCGGTGGCGACGGCAGCTGAAATCCGTCCGCAAACACCACCGACATCGCTACCGCTCCGCTGTGGACTCAGCACTCCGAATCCATTCCGCCGCTGTTGCCGCTGAAATGTTCCTGGATGCTTCTGTCTGTAATCAAGCAATGAAGCATGCAGCCTACATAAGGTAATGTAATGAAGTTGTTTTCAAACAGGCGTGCGCTAGCTAATATTAGAACAATTTGTGTTGCAAACATGATGGAAAGGGAAGGTACGCCATATTTATTGTGCAAAAGCCGGATACTGAATATTTGTCAATGTATCAAGGGCTTCCCCGAAACATTGTTGAATTTGGCACAAACCCATTTCTGATTGTATCATTCTCACTTTACGGCTTTTTATAGCAGCAGGCCAACATCAGTTAACACCTTCACCAAGTTCCCGTCGGCCTTATTTATAGTCTGGGCCCGTTTTCTTTAGGCGGCGGGCCATTATCAAGATTGGCGGTCGTCAGCACGCCGGTCGGCCCTCGGACGGCCGCGGCGGCCTGTAAACACTCGTCCGTCGGCGACGACGCGCGCCAAGTGTCGCCGTCGACGAGGTGTCATCGGCCGCGACGCCAGGTGTGCGCGCTCAGCGGCGACACCCGGCTCCGGCGCGCGACAGTAAACACGCGCCGACGAGAGGCCGAGGCAGGGTGCAGCTGTGGCCGGAGGAGGGTGCATGAACGGTGGGAGCAATGATGGATGGTGGAGGGTGGTGAGATCAGTGGAAGGCTGGTTTTAGAGGCGGGATGGGAATGGGAAATATATGAAAGTAATAGACTGAAGAAAGCTAAAAACGTAGAAGAAAATATATGACGCATTTTGATGCACCCAGGGTCGCCTTGGAAACTGTTCAGCCATGGTGGCAGCGATATTATGCGTTTATTTCCTTGAAATAAAGTGAGTTCATATCCCGGATAAAAGTAAGTATCTCCTAATTGCTGTAATAAAACCGCGTATGTCTGCATACAAAGTTAAAGCTCTTTTGTAATGCCCAGATGTATCCGATCATTGACGCACGCTACAGAAAAAGCTCCATTTCCATGATGTGTCCCTATGGCACGGGAGGCGTCCCAGAGGTCATCAGCATTCTGTGTGGCGGCGTATTCCAGGGAACCATCCTCGGACCGTCCCGGTCATCACCTGCGGCTCAGCGTCAGTCTCTGGCTCGGTGCGCCGAGCGCCTAGTTCGGTATGCTGGCAGCACGGCGCGCACAAACTTACAGAGCGGTGACCTTTGATCGCAGGTCGCAGGTGGCAGAGACGGCAGCTTCCGCCTGTCCAGGCTGGAGCGCAAAATCCAACAGTAGACTGCTTCAAAGACCTTTTATTTAGTTTGGAAATAGGTAAGCCACCTGCCTTTGCAGAAATCGGAGTCTTGCTATTACGTACAAGAAATTAACCCGCGCCCCGCTGGGCTATTCAGCCATACGCGCCCTGCTGGGGGGGGGGGGGCAGATTCTGCCCCCCCCCCCTGTCTAACTTCCGAACCGATGGTCGTAGAAAGACGGGGAAAACGGCAATTGAAAGCTCTCAACAAGGCGGATCTTAGGAGCCCAGATTTTTTGCTTAAGTAGGTCAGAGGTCAGGTCAAGGTCAGGTCAAGGGTACAAAATGCAAGTTTCTACAGTATCGGCCTTGCACCGTAGTTGCCGAAGAATGGACTGAGACTGATTGCCCAAAACGTGTTCTTAGACTACCAAGACAATATTCGTTGCACACAATGTCATTCAAAGGTCAAGGTCAAGGTCAGGTCAGGTCAGGTCAGGTCACCAAAAACAATATATAGAAAAGGGCATGTGCGACACATGTTTTATGGGTCATTTTACTCATGGAATTCAATAGGCACACTCAATAAGTGATATGGACCACCTCTGGATGAATTTCAGGTCGAGGTCAGGTCAAGGTCAGGTCAAGTGAGGTCAAATTTTGAAGTTGGTTGTTAAGGCCTAAAAAGGTGTCTATCCGATGCAGTTTTTCACGGCGAATCGAATGGTGCTATTTGTGTTTCCGTACGAGGTCTAGAACTTCAAAAAAAACATTTTTCAAAAATTTTGTGTGTCGTGACGTCATAAAATTTTGAATAACTCCCACATTTTTGAACCGATTTTTCTAAAAATTAGTATGTAGGTGCACATAGACCAGTTCTTTGACATATATTCCGGTTTTTTCGATAAACCCAAAATTTTGGATTTTATAAATATTTTCCCAAAAAAGTCAGTTTTTTGGAAAATTTTTGGCCAAAATCCAAAATTTTCAAAAAACTGAGATAGCCATTTGATAGACAAAGTAGAATCACGTATAACCTTTTTTGTTACGTCTTGATTCCTTTAAAACTGAAGATGTTAGCGGCGTTTGAAATTTTGCCGTTTTTGAGGCGAAAATGGCGAACATGACGTCACTAAAACGTCAATTTCTCAAAAATTTTCCGACGGATTTCGCTCAAATTTTCAGGGAACGTGTCAAATTCATGTATGATAAGGTACTGAAAGTTTGACGTCGCTGGCGTAACGCGTTTAGAAGTTATTGGCAAAAAACGGGAGGGGGGCAGATTCTGCCCCCCCCCCCCCCCCAGCGGGGCGCGGGTTAAACTAGGATTGGTTAGGAGACAAATCAATTCCCTGTGATCGTCTAAAACGTAACTCAGTTTGAGTTATAGCCCAAGATACGACTGAAGATTGCCAATCCTTTTGCAAAATAGCGCATTTCACAACCTTAATAGCAGCATTCATTATCCTGTGTGTCTACTCAGTTCGCCGCCACGGTCCGCTCCTAGCTCACCGAGTCGCCGTAGCTCCAGCTGCCGAACTTCATGAAGCACTGCTGCTGGTCGAAGGGAAAGTACTGGACGTCGATCTGGCAGTAGGACTTGTAGATGGCCGGCGGGTTCCACACCACCCGTCCGCCGCTGTGTATCACCGCCTTGGTGAGTGTCGTGATGACGTACTCTCCGTCGGCGCTGGAAAGAACAGATCAGCAGTTAGCAGGAGTTAACCCGCGCCCTGCTAGGGGGGGGGGTGTTTGAACACCCCCCCTTGTGGTTTTTCGCGAATATCTCAAAAACGGCGGCGCGGAGCGCCGCCGTTTTTGGTACACCTTATCATACATCAATTCTACACATGTTGTGAAAATTTCAGACCAAGGTCATTCAAGGTCAGGTCACCAGGTCACTTGAAGTGACCTCACCTCATAAAAAGTTTCAATGTCTGTCATAGCTACACCGAGTGACCGATCGCTTTGAAACTTTCAGCGATTGCTAAGAGCAATAGCATGTCTTACCATTACCGAGTCTGAGACTGTGAAAAACCTAGGAATCATTCTTGACCGCCACCTCAACTTTGTGCCGCATGTAGATGCCGTAACACGGAAATGCACAGGCATGCTCACGGCGCTGATACACGCACGGCACGTGATACCACGATCAGCCCTGAGGCAGATTGTCGGAGCGCTGGTCATGTCAGTGTTGCGGTATGGTTTATCGGTGTATGGATCGTGTGGGGAGACGCAGCTTTGTCGACTGCAGAAAGTGGTAAATTTTTGTGCGCGTGTCGTATCCGGTCGGCGGCGTCGCGATAATGTTGTGGCAGTCATTAAGGAGCTGAAGTGGTTGACTACCAAACAGTTAGTAACGTATCACACTGTGAGCGCTGTAGAGCGCATCATCACGTCTGGACAGCCCGAATATCTCCGAGGTACACTTGGCCAGCGGGCTAGCCAGCGTCATAGACACGACACCAGGCGCGCCTACTATTTTACACTCCCATCCATTCGTACGGAAGTAGGCCGCCGTAGGCTCTGCTACCGTGGCATAGCTCGTTTGAACGAGCTGGGAGTCGAGCCAGGTATTCTGTCGTACCGCTATAAAGTAAAAAATGTGCTGCTGGCCACGCCACCGACATGAACGTATGTTGAACGAATGCATGTGCGTGAAAGAGTTATGTATGCGCTTCATTGTTTGTATTTTCGGTTTTTCATTGACGTGAACATGTGAAAAGCCCCTCCTCAGAGGGGATCCTGTTTGAATGCATCTGTATCTATCTGTATCTGTACAAAATGTATATCTCAGAATTTTGATATCGGTGACCTAAGGTCAGGTCAATTTTGCGACCTCCCGATTATAAGTCAATGGGAGGAAATTGAAATGCGCTTCTTTTGGACGAAAGACATTATAAACACTCCCAAACACCAAATCACAAGTGTTTTAGACACACAGAACATGAAAATGGTGTCCGTGACCCTTGTTTATGCCCTGAGGTCATCTTAGGTCACGAATGGTATCTAACAGTTTTTCGCAAATAACTTTTGATAGAGGCATGCTAGAGCGATGAAAACGCCTTAGATGTGTTCAGCTCGACGATACGGATCGACTGATATGCAACATGACCCTTTCCGGTCAGGTCATGACCTTGACCTGAGGTCAAATTTTCAAGTTGACCTTTAAAGGTCAAGTTATAGTGCATTCGATGCGGCTTGACGAGAGGAACACGATGCCGGTAACAGTAAGCTCGTACAAGGCTTGGGTCAAAAGTTATTGCAGAAAAACTGTTTCCGAAAAAATCGGCTATTTTTGCAGTTTTTGCCCCCTGCAGGCAAAACCGTTGACGTTAGGTCAAATCTGAGAGGATTATTCAGAAAGGGCGTTAATAGGGCTATCGAATGCGCTTTTCCGCGGCGCTGTAGCTCTATTGGTTCCCGAGTTATGCGTTGGCTTCTTGGAAATTTTCGACATTCGACCTGGAAATCGGCGAAGTTTTGCCTTCAATGACCTCTGGTGACCTGACCTTTGACCTGACCAAAAAATTGACCGGAATGATTTCCTCATTATTTTTGACGGTCTTTCGAACGCCGCCTTCTGCGTATCGCTACGTGGCCCAGGAGCCGAGTTACAAGGGAGGGGGTGTTCAAACACCCCCCCCCCCCAGCAGGGCGTGGAAATCCAGGACCCCCAGCCGGGCGCGGGTTAAGGAAGAGACAGCGAGCCGTCAAGAACAGGATTACTTTACCATTAGTCATGAGAATTGAGAGCTACGGGAAAGTAGGTCGCTGGAGGGAGGGTACAACAAATACCAACAGGTGCTTGAGAGAAGCAAGGGTGATCACTGAGCAGGTTCTCGGATATTGAGAGAGCTGGCTAGAGGATGGGAAGCCGTATGGAGCCTGAGAATACGAGACGGATTTAAAGGCCTCATTATGGATGTCAGTAGTGATTACACCAGAAACATTTCAACATAATAGCTCAGCGGAAACAATTTTCTTTTGAACACGTATCCTTGTGAAAATATGACAATGTTCTTATCAACCACTTACATAGTTTTTGTTTCTAAAAGGTTCGCCTTGAATTAAATTCGTTTGAACCAGCGAGCTCGTATTGAGCCATATGGAAAACCCGTTTGAGATGCCAGACACTCCTTTGGGGAATGGTGGGGGCCAAACAGCAGCATTTTTTCGTGAGTTCCATGACATCTATCCCGATAAAGTAGATCAGATCAGATAAGATCAATAGCCATCAATCTTACTTGTTGTACAGGACGATATCTGGCAGCCATATGTGTTCGGCTGGGACGTAAAGCTCGGTCACACCACCGTACTCCTCCGGGTCCCATGTGAACTTGTAGTCCATCCACTCCTGAGGAACAGACAGCACACTTCATGAAGACAAGATACACGTACTTTACTTGGATTGGCTGCCAGCGGGTGCATTCAGTCGACATTCACTCCATTTCTTTAACAACGATAAAGTAGTCCATAGAATAGCTGCGTGCAAACCTTTCTTTTCAACGTAGCACTAGCTATGCAATGCATCAATAGTTTTATTTGTACAATGCAACAGATTGAAAGACTATAGCCTAAGACTTGAAAGACAATAGCTGTTTATGTTTTTGTGGTGAAGGACTGTTATAACTGTTTCTGGGATAATTATACACACAAACGAGTGAGGGTCCTGCTGGTGCAAAATACAACGAAAAACGTTATCATCAATGCTACACAAATGCAGAGAATGGAACCGATGTATGAGTATTGACCACATTGAGGCCACTATGCACCTACCCTATACAATCGTATATGTTACAAATGGCATCGCTGGACCCATTACCCTGAGACCATTACACTGAACGTCTGACTGAACTGCAGTTTCCGCACCAAGTCCCCCAATTGGCCTGAGGTGTGAGCCTGTACGGACTGCAATCAGTGCGGCTCCGCCGCCAACTGGGCCAATTTGGCCGCGGTCCGTGCAGTTGGTGTGCCGGACACGGACGAGGGCGAGGTGCCCCTGGAGCTGAGGCTGCAAGCTCGCCCGCAGCCGTCAGCGCTCGAGGATTGGAGGCACTCGTGCGGGGTGTCGCCAGGGAGGCGGCCCCGCCAGCTATTATTGTAGAAGACATGACCCGATGGCGGTAGAGGAATAACGCCGGACAGGACCGGGATCGCAGCGAGGGGGTAGTTAGATCTGCAGTTGAAGGTTGGGATGGGTAAGGAGAGAGATGGTTGATTCACTAACGGGTGTATGATCAGCTACCGTCTATCAGTGTTAGTTGCTTGCTTGCCTATTTTTAGAATGTAACATCTTTCAGTATTGACAGCAATTAAATTGCTCTGCGTTTTTGTCGCAGGATCGTGGAACCGATGCTTCTGGCTTCTGGCAGTTGTTTTTGCTTCTGGCAGTTGTTCACCTTGCCACAAGAAATGAGATGAAATGAAGCAAAATATAATAAAATAAAATGAAATAAAATAAAATAGGATAAAATGAACTGAAATAAAATGTAATAAAATAAAACAAAAAGTGAACTCTCTCTCCCTCCCTCTCTCTCTCTCTCTCTCTCTCTCTCTCTCTCTCTCTCTCTCTCTCTCTCTCTCTCTCTCTCTCTCTTTCTCTCTCCCCATCTCACTCCCTCTCTCTCCCTCTCTCTTGAGCCAAAGGCTATTACTTGCTTATCTTTTATTTGGAGCCTTTATTTTTATTATTGCGACTGGGAAGATGAATATATATTCGCCTATACAATTCCATAAGACATTGAAGTTCAAAATTCATAATCGGTAACTTCAGTTTGTGAACGCGTTTCAAAATTATAACTTAATCATCTCCAAGGTCGACGTCTACAATACAATGCCACGGACATAAGTCCCCAACAACATACAGGCCTCTAAACACCTCTTTCTTCCAGCTGGCACCGCGATATTGCCCGCTGACAACTTTACGTAGCCAGACATGTCACCACCAGAGCTGCTGCTGAATTACGGTCTCCGGGAACGGGGGGCGACCACTGCCGCGGGCTACTGGGTCAGGGGTCACGGGTCGCTGTCGGGCACAGCTGACGGGGGGAGGGGTAGGGGAGGGGGTGACCGACCGACCACTCAGGCTGTGGGTCACGGCTGACGCGCCAGTAAAATATGGCCGTGTCCCGCCGGCAGTCATGGCCAACCCAGCGACCGCAGCCGACGCAAACGCCGCGCGAATAGCAACGACCCCATCATGTCATGCGTTGTTATTAGTTGGCTAGTTAAATGGGCTATTCTGGGCCATAATAGGCCGCTTAGGCTGTGCCAAGGGATGAATCTTGAAACGTATGGCAGGATATAAAACTTGTGTGGATTGCAGTTTGGTATATGCTTGGCTTACTGGCCACATGAAATTAACATCGAAGTGGTTTGTACATGAGGAACACTAGCAAAAGAGCAAAATCACCAGCTATTTCTTCTTTTTTTGTTGAACTTCATAGGAATTATCGGTTCGTTATTCTAATCCAGCGTAGCGGGTGGATGACCATATTTAAACATTTCTTAACCTTCGCCAGCACAGGCCATTTTGAGTCCTTCGACGACACAGGGGGGAGGGGTACGACCCCCCCCCCCCCCTTGTGCCGTCGAAGTCGGCCCTTGAACCGTCGGCCCTCGCGTCTGGCCCCTGATGGAGCTAGAGCTTCGCGGAAAAAACGAGCGTGTTACCCGTCACGAGAAGAAGCTAATGATACCCAATTTTAAGGTCCTAGGTCATCGGTTGAGCTTCCAGGTCAGGTCAATGACCAAAAAATCGGGATTATCGGGACCTGATAGAAAGTCGTAAAGCGTGGCTGCTAAGGGGTGTTCCGGGGTGCTGATCACGAATATCGTGTTAGTTTTGATCACAGATGATGTCGTTAAGCGTTTAGACCAGGTCGGGTCAGGTCAGGTCAGGTCAGGTCAGGTCAGATCAGGTCAGGTCAACCGGTAGGGGTCGTGACGGGTATTCGTAGTACCTGCCATCCGCGTCTTACAGCTTCGTAACATGTTACGAAGGCACCAAAACTACTTCGTAAATTTTCAAATGGTTGCTAAATTCGAATTCAGCTCCAAAAACTAGCCTAGAAACATGTAAAACTCGAAAAAGTGAACGGAGGTCACCAAAGGTCAATAACCTGACCTGACCTTCAGGTGACCTTGAAACCCACCCTAATGCATGGGAGCAACATGAAATCACATGTTTGAACGTTTGAAACCACGAAAAGATAGCAAACGCGCGGCTAATGCGAGCCGACATACCTACGCCGAATCGCGATTTCGGCCAAACATGGTCACGGAAAAGAGGTCACAGGTCAAAGGTCATTGTGGTCAGGGTCATGAAATTTTCAGGTTAGGTGTAAAATTGATCAATGCGAAAGTACAGAAAGTTTCGTCACGATCAGCCGCTTTTTACGCGAGTTATTCGCGAAAAACCTTAGGGGGGGGGGGGTTGCATCAACTCTCTCTGCATCAACCTCCTGTGCCGGCGAGGGTTAACAAGTATTAGACTCAAATGATGAGGCTATAGTTGAAAACTTGAGGTGACCGAACCCCATCGTTGAGCATCGTTGGTCGGACGAGTGATCGCCCACCCGTTCCATTTCAGGCCGGCGGGTCGGTCGGACAGGGCTCGGTAGGCCATTATTCAAATATTGTCCGCCCGAGTCCTGTGTCGCTAACAGGCCCGGCCGACTGAGCGGCCCAGCGACCATTTAACGAGTCCTCCCAACCGGTCCGACTGCACACGGCCGGCCCGAGGAAGACAGATGGCATGAGCACGACCGCCCCACTATGGTTGGAAACGGCCTCACGGATGGCCGGGGGTCAACGCGAAAAAATGTTTTGCCCATAACTTGTTAATGCGTAGACCGACTGCGATGAAACTTTGCATAGGTATACCAGTGTCTTTCGTGCATCATACAGTAACTCAGAAATGACGAGGTCACGTCACGTCACGCGTGTGTGACGTCATCATTGCAAGTATGTTATAAGTCGCCTATGTCTTTCGTTATGTTATCGATATCGCGAGGCATTTTGAACATGTTTTGAATACTGCTATTACTGAATGGATATTGTTGTTATGCTTTAGGGCAAGACATATCAACGTAGTGACGCACAGTGTCTTACTATTGGTCATAAACGGTCAAAAATTTGGAGAAAGAGTATTTATGATTTTTTTTTTAGATTGGGCAAAAAAGTAAGAAATAAAATGACGATCAAATGACAAAACATGCGTCAGATTAACCCGGCAGTTGCTGGGGTATTTCCCCATCCGCCGTTTGCCCGGGGGGGGGGGGGGCGTTCAACGCCCCCAGCCGATAACTCGCGAACAAATAGGCGCAGCGAAGCGCACGAGGCGCGGCAAACGAAAGAAGAACGCGACGAGACGATTCACATGAATACTTTAAAGTTGAATTTCGAGGTCACAGGTCGGGTCAAGGTCAGGTCAAACACTTGAAATCGGGTTTTCAGTAGCATGGACTTTAGAACCTCGCAATCGGTGCCTCGCGTTTCGCGTTTCGATTATATCGTCATCAGTTGGTCCTAAATAAATTCAGTCATCAGTTGGTCCTAAACAATCTGTCACAACTGTCACAACCCTTCATATAAGTGCTAAAAGAGTGTCAGATCAATGTAGGGGTCAGTCAAACATAGGCCACTGGCCAGGGTCAAAGTCAGGTCAATCAGGTAAGCACATAACCCCGAAAATTAAAACTGGTACCTATTCGCAGCCCATGCATGACACATGTTTTATGGGTACTTTTGGGCGTAGAACACGATGGCGACATTCATTTTATCATACGAGTACGTAGCTGGTTGAAAAAAGATCAATTTCAGAAATGCATGCATCATGGTCGTGAAGTAGTCACGAGAAATTGCCAACATTCAGTTCAAGATTTTGGGAAATGTAGAACGATGATCAAAAACCATAGATAGCCATTTGATTTGCCATGGTATTGGCAGTGTAATGGCGTTTACAGCATGTCTGTATGTCTGCTCTGTCGGTGGATATCCATATCCATACTCCAGGATATCCATACACGTTTGCACGATATCCATACTCCAGGTGCAGCGGCGAGCAGTTACTTCTTACGAGGGGTGCGGAGTCGAAGTCAGAGTCGGAGTCAGAGTCGGAGTCGGAGCCAGAGTCGCCCAGAGTCGTGGCAACGAGCCAGGAGTCGGAGTCGGAGTCGGGGTCGGTCAGGAGCCCGCAGTGGAAGTCGGAGTCGGTCCGAATCGGAACAGCTCCATCACGACTCCGAAACACTGGCAGGGGTCCGGAGTCGGAGACAGAGTCGGCCGGAGTCATGGCAACGAGTCAGGAGTCGGAGTCGTAGTCGGAGTCGGATTTGGCTCCACCACGACTCCGCAACCCTGCTTCTTACCATCATTTATAAGGATAAGCGATTGCAAGACTGACGAGCCGACCTGGTGCTAACGAAGCGACGGGTAGGTACGCCTCGGGAGATGAAGCTTCACGGACGATTTTGCGCACAAGTGCGCAGTCTGCTTTTACGTTCCCCTTACGCAGAATTGAACAGAGACTTATTCTGCCAAAAAGCTCAATGGAGGTCGATGGAGAACTTTTTGTATGTCCAATGAAACATAAACGTAATTTTGCAAATATTGCTGTGGTGACACTGCAAACAGAATGCAATGCCGTTCCTGATTTTGAACACGCATGGGAAAAAGAGTCACTCCACTCGATAGCCAACATAACAAGGATTATTTTGATATATAATAATCCAGTTTTACAACGTCATGGAGGTACTCCACATGCTATCACCAGCGCGGTTGTTTAAACCTTTGACGGCGCACCAAAAAAGCCACTCTCAGAAACTCCCGATTCCACGTACAATAATGGAGACTAAATGCGCAACTAAATAATTTTTTCTGCCCAATTCAAAACATTTCACCAATTTCCAACAGAATGACACCCCAAATATACATATATTCCGAGATTGCCCACGGCCATCCGTGAGGCCGTTTCCAACCATAGTGCGCCCGTCTAAATCTCCGGACTGGGGGGGGGACATCACCGTAAATCTAAAACAGTTATTTGTGGTGCGCTTCGTCAGTAAATAAATATGTCCCTAAGGACGACAGCGTGAAATGTAGTAACGCAGGCAAGACAGCGGTGAGACAACATTTATAAGAAGCGACAAAGAGGGAGAGAGAAAGGAAGAGGATGAGCAAGAGGGATTGGGGAGAGAAAAAAGACGGGAGAGAGAGAGGCGGAGGGAGAAAAAAGAAAGAGAGAGAGAGAGAGAGAGAGAGAGAGAGAGAGAGAGAGAGAGAGAGAGAGAGAGAGGGAGAGAGAAAGAGAGAGAGAGAGAGGGAGAGAGAGAGAGAGACCGAGGAGCAGACAGACAGATGCAGAGATAGGGACAAAGTTGGCCAGAGAAATAAAGTAAGATTCCGTTTGTACTTACGTGTTCCACCCACACATTCGTTGTCAAGATTTGATCCTTGAGGTTCTGAAACAAACCAAAGTTTTTGCTTTGATCATCATTCCATCATGGTGCCATTTTCACTGAAAGTACAATGCATTAATGCACTAGAATACGGAGATGATCGCGACACAGAAGATGTACATACAAAGATGCGTAGGCCGTCTTGTAACCACCCAACAATACAACGCACGATATATCTTGGGGAATGTGCTGCTTGGTGCTACCAAATGTAATCATTCCCTCTTGTGGGCGGCTGAGCGCAGCGTTAGGGCCGCCGCGATGGCGTCAGTAATTTCTCTGGGGAGCCCCTCCGGGGCCTCAGACGGCCCCCGACCCGAGGTCAGCCAAGGTCACGGAAACCGCCGGGGCAACCACCCTCTGTCGCTATGGCGGCTATTGTCAATACTTAGGCCGGACCTGAAGGGGCCGGTGTCTCTCGGGAGGTTTGCGTCTCTGTCGCTGGCGGCGCATATCAAACAGAAGGGCCACACACGAGTTGCCGCTGTCGGGTCGTTTCCATCGTGTTGAATGTTGTGTGCCCTCAATTGGTAAAGCGCTGACTAGGGGCCAGCTTCACTGCCCAGTACTGTGGCTTTCAAGCCAATCAAATTCCATCATACTTTTTCATATCTTATGAACACGCGAATTTACGTTTGCATACATAAATCATTAACACGCAAGTATATAACTATGCCGCAATGCAAATAATGTCAACCTGAGTAACATACAGCTGTTTCCAGCTATATGGTGGAAAGGGCAGGCAAGCCAATACCTTTACCTTGAAGTATGCTCATGAAGTAATTTTAGTTTAGTCGGCGGAATCAATGCCAGCAGGCTCGGAAGGAAATTGAGTTATCATAGCTCTATTCTAGCATGCAAATGTCAATTACCAAAGCACCAGACTAGGGATTTCCGCGTTAAATTCATTCGTCTTTTGGGCTTCTGGCAGCCCAAGGGAGTGTGAGAAATGACCATTGAATAGAAATGACGAATCAACATTCAACATACATAAATATCGAACCATAGTAGCACAATCTGACATCAATATGAAAGTGAATGGCAACAAAGCTGTGAAAGCACCATTGATAGTTCATGCATTTTTATGATAAATTGTTGAATGACTTCCGTAAAATAGATTATTGTGTGCTGAAAATTGGTAGACTTTGAATGGTAACCGTATGATATTACGCACAGCTCGGACCGTAATGAGGGCATTACTGTCATCATGACTCTATCACATGCGACAATCCCATGTTGTCCCGACCCCTGAGGGCAGGCCTCCGCGCCATTTCGCAGCGTCGAGGGTACACGCCTGCCTGTTGGCAGTAGATCCTCTAATGCTGTGTCAGCATCGATCATCCCAGTGTACCCGACGCCGCGCCACCGCCACCGCCGCAGGCCCACCACAGTTCCACTAATCGCTCCGAACCGAGGCGCCGAGGTGAGCCCTCCGCGACAGCTGCTGGGAGACGGATGACCGGCGACGGATGAGGGACTGCCCGCGCTCTGAGCTCCGGCGTCCGGCTGCCAGCACTGCACAGTGAGGGTGGGCGGCGACGCAATGGGCTGGATTCGATCCCGATTAGTTCCTTAATCATGTCCTGAAGTGTTTGACTAAACTCGGAACTTGCTTGCGTCCCATTTATTCTCTCGCCTGCTCAAGTTTGTCCATTAAAAAGTTCGATGCAATATTAACGCCTTTTCGAAAGGAGTTTTGACGCTCGCTCAAACTTCATTATACAATGATCCTCTTAAATGGGCTTCCACTTAGCATATGTGATACTTTTTAAAGCTACTTTGAACGCAGATCTGGCAGGCGTACCTACCTAATGCGTAAGGCATCATTCGCGTAATGCATGGCTCTCACTAGCAAAGCCTTTTCCTTGCGAAAATTATACTTTGAGACGCCATTTTTGTACAGTACAATCCGTTGAGATGATGAATCTTTTTTGCAGCTGTATAATGCAAAAAACACACTCACAGGTTCGCCATGCATTCGTCTGTCCACGTTGCAAGCGTATTGAATAATGACATATTCCGGTACACAAATAATCTAGCTTACTATTCTAACAGAATCCGTCTGTCTGTCTGTATGTCCGCACATCGTGTAGTGGGTTCAATTTGTTACGGCTACAGGGCAGACGGTACGACGTAGGGGGCTGAAATTTGCACACCTTATAGGTGACAGAACGGGTCAGCGCCTTTTCTGGGTTTCATCTCGCTGGGGTGCACTGTTCGCGCGTGGGGCGCGATGGAAGAACGCTGTATCGTGGATCCGCCCTCCGGGCGGAGCCTCACGAAATAGTGTGAAACACGAAATAGCTCGTGATACTAAAATAATCTTACTTATGATGCATTCAGTAAATACAGTCTCGTCCCGAATCTCATAGCTGTTTATCACAACTTGATACATGGCGCAGCCGGCAGGATTTCGTTTTATATAAAAATAATAATTTAGCCATAGTTTTGTTTAATGATTAGCTGGTGATATAAAGTAAGCGAGAAGTTAAGGTACTAACATGTTTTTGAATTGCATGTGCATATTTTAGACAAGCGCACTCTGATTGAAAGATTAGTTGACAAACGAATGTAAACTTTGACTTATCACTGAACGCTGCTTTCAAGTGTCGAATAGTTTAACACTAAGCTTTGCGGCATGCCAGGAGTATTCCGTCCTCCAGATGAATTTGACTTCACGACGCCAGAGCGATGGCCAGCGTGGAGAGATAGATTTCAGCGCTATCGGCTGGCATCTGGCCTCCACAAGGATGAAGATGACATTCAAGTCGCCGCCCTGATCTACGCAATGGGACCACAAGCAGAACACGTCGTTCATACACTGAGCTTGCCGGCAGAGGAGGCAAATAACTACAACATACTAGTAGACAAGTTCAATGACTATTTCATCCCTAAACGCAACTTCATAGCCGAGCGCCAGGCGTTTGAAAAAAGATGCCAAGCAGCTAATGAAAGCAGTGAATGTTTCATGCGCAGCTTGTTTGCTCTGGCCGATCACTGCAACTTTGAAAACAAGCAAGAACGAATCCGGGACAGGCTCATCACTGGCATGAAAAACAAAGACTTATCCATGAAAATTCAGCTCCGAGCCATGGAAGAAGACATAACCCTGGATAAGGTCGTGACAATGATGCGTAACATGGACATAGTGAGCAATGGACAAGAAGCACAGCAGAATGTGAGCAATGGACAAGAAGCACAGCAGAATGTTGATCGTATCGATGTGCACAGGCCGCCATCGGTACCATCTCAGCAGTGCAGGCGCCCCCAAGCGGAAGTCGAGCGCTATGAGCACAGTGGCAGCAGAAGATTTTCTGGCGGAGGTCAGCAGACCAGAGGACAAGGTGCATGCAAGTACTGTGGCTATGACCGCCACGCTCGCCCCCGAGAATGTCCCGCGAAAGGCAAAACTTGCAACAAATGCGGAAAACGGGACCACTTCGCTGCCGTGTGCCTCTCTCGTATATCAGCTCGAGAGGTGAACTGCGAATGGCCATCTCCATCCGTGCAGGCTGAAGAAACTGATGAATATTCTTTCGTCGGGGATGTTGACGAAGATGTCATCCCACATTGGACCATCCTAGCGGACATGAACAAGCAGAAAGTTAAGTTTAAAGTCGACTCTGGTGCAGATGTAAGCATCCTTAGCTGGAACGACTACGTGAGACTTGGCCTACCGCAGCTGCAGCCTGCCAAGAACACTTTAAGAAGTGTCAGCAGAATCCTTGACGTTGAAGGCAAAGTGAAAGCTCGCGTACACTACAGAGGCAAAGTTCTCCACTCTGAGGTGTTCTATGTTGTGAAAACATGCTCAGAAAATCTACTGTCACGCTCGGCTAGCTCCCGGCTGGCAGTACTGCAGTTCACTGGCGAAGTCAGCAAGATCAGTGAAGGCGTGTTTGGAGAAACGGGGCTGATGAAGACTACTCCAATCACCATAAAGCTCGCTGAAGGCGCAGTGCACTGGAGAAAGATGGAAAAGTACTTCAACCAGCGGAATGGGGTTAGACTACTTCCAGATCTCAAGCCTGGATACAATGTTCGCATGAAGACCGACAAAGAATCAGACTGGTCGGCGTCAGCGAAGGTTCTCAAGAAAGCAGGCCCAAGAAGCTACATAGTACAGACCGGAGGAGCTACTTACCGACGCAACCGTTGTCATCTAAAGCTCTGTGAGCATGAAGAGCCCAAGCACCAGCGCTCTCCGCCTCCAGCACCAGCCCGCGCTGCAACAAGATCGATGAGCCCGGCACACCTACCAGCTCTGCTGCAATCTCATCCGTCGCGTCGTGACCTGAAGGTTCCAGCACAAAGGGCGCTCACTCCGCCGAGAAGCATCCAGACCAAAGAGTCCAGACCTCCGAACGAAAGGCGGTCTTACACTCGGAGCAGAGCCGACAACAGGACAACGACTTCAGATGGTCATGGGGAGGTGAAATCGTCCTCTCCCAGAGTGACCCGCAGCGGAAGATGCTTCGGACCGTGACGTCCGTCTCGCCAAAGGAGGGAGATGTATCGTGGATCCGCCCTCCGGGCGGAGCCTCACGAAATAGTGTGAAACACGAAATAGCTCGTGATACTAAAATAATCTTACTTATGATGCATTCAGTAAATACAGTCTCGTCCCGAATCTCATAGCTGTTTATCACAACTTGATACAAACGCCAATGAAATTTTGATCGGTTCGTAGATCTTCATTGAGAGCCGGGGTCGACAAACTTTGTGAACTAAATGCATGCCGATTGGCGGCGGGTGCCTCGCATTGGCGGATGAGCAAGTTTTTAATTTGAATAAAAAGTGGCGAGAGAATGTGTTGATTTTCTTTCAATGGGAGCAGTTTGTGATACGAGTTTACAAATGCACCGCGTTTGCCGCGATGCGCCACAATTACATATCTCAGGGCGTCATTTTTGCCGCACATCACACAGCTTTGTCAAATGTGGTCCGATATGGGTGCAATTTGGTGCAAAGATGCATGCTCAATCACCGGGTGAAAATGCGCCGCG